TCGTACAGCTGTCTTCTAAAGAGCAGTCATCAAAATTTTATTGAATGCAGGCTAAATACTCAAAGGAAAGAAAGGTCAACATAAATTAAGACTATTTTACCCAGAGACAACCGCAACTTAAGTACTTTCTTAAATCTTAAACAAAGCTTAAAGCATTATATAAAGTAACTAAAAAATTATGAAAATCTTTATAAAGTCATTCTATAAGAATTTTACACATTCATTTCAGATTAAACAAGCTTTGGAAAATGCACTTTACTTCAAAATGTAAATGCACAGATTTCATCTTGGAAAAGATTGTTTTGACTCATTAGCAAGTAAGATGACCTCATTTAAAATATACCGTTGTTTAGAGTGTGCCCCTATTTCTGTGTTTCAAATGTGAAGGTATTCAAAAATGAATTAAAAATGCATCTTTGAAATATTATTCATGTAATATGACTGTATGAGATAACACTGGTTTACAATTATCTGTATTTTAAAAAGATAATAGGAAAAAATACAATATTAAAAAAGCCAAACATGTAAGATTTACATTTTCTATATTAAAAAACCCCCACAAACTCTTGCCAAGGGACAGTCAAAGGTGTAACAGTTTGATGGAATTCTTTACAGTGTGTGTGGGTTGTTTTTTTTGTTTTAATATAGTGACCCATGTTGCTTAAGGAATGCAGACTCCATTATATCTTCCACCCCAATGGCAGCAGAAAAACATTATATACATTAATACATTCTCTTGGTTAGGGTGCTCTGGGAGCCAATGCATTTGCATGTTATACTAAGGTATCCCTTCCAGCCCTACATTTCTGATTCTATGTTATGATGGAAGTTTTTATGATGGACTTCAAAAGGAGCTGGAAGCCAAAGTACAGCAGAATCTGGACTTGAGATAGCTTTATGATGAGGACAAATGAAAAACTGCATGAAAATCCTAAATACGGATTTGGGAAATTTCTCGGAGAAAAAGTTGTAGAGTGGTCAGCCCCACGTTATTTAAAATCTGTCAGATATCGTGTAGAGCAAGAGTTCCAGTTGGCCCAAATTTGCCTCTGTTGGCCTGTGGAACCTCTATATGCCCCTTGAGCTATGCAGCTGTAGAGGCAGATTCTCAGGTAAGTACTTCTACATCAGAAGGGGCTGCGTAATAATAATTTTGGCCTTGCTCTTTCCAGTGAAAGCATTAGATTCTATCTCACCTGACAGTATCCCCTCTGATGCCCTAATGAGGGGTAAGTAAATCACTAGTCAACTATCATTCAATCAGGATCATGTAAGACTGGAGGTGTTAAAGTCCAAACCACTGTCCTTGGCTAAAAGCTCTGAAAAAAGTTTATTCGGAAAATTAACAAGGAGCCCCATTGGGCCACAGGTATCTCCCTCCCTCCAATGTACATGCAAAAAGATGCATATGGGGGAGAGGAGAAAAAGCTCACAATCTAAACTGTGGAAATGAGAACCCCACACTACTTTACGATATAGAGGGCAGTGGGATCACCTCTGTTAGTTCCCACTCTCTTCCTCCCATGGCTGGACAAAGTTACTACAATACCAGGACAGTAGTAAATGTCACAGTCTGCACAAGTAGGGAAGAGGAAGGAAAAACCACGCACATTAAGGTGCAGCGTACAAGAGCTCATTTACCTGAGTCCCCTACCCTCAAGTGATCTAAAATCTCCAGGGACAGAGCTCATTTTGTTTTCTTAATTGTGCATAGTAGATGGTGGTGTATGTATATGAAAGTATATGCATTTTGGTAATTGGTACTTTACACATAATATTTACCCATCTAAAAAAAAAAGTCATAACTATCGTTTGTTATAACATATTGGAAAATCCCTTTAGGCCAGATTGAGAGTCTCTTGTTAACACTGGTGAGCATTTACTTACAAAAGTACTCCTATTTACCTCAGTGAAACTATTCATGTGAGTAACTGCTCATCAGAGAGAGTATGGGTTTCACCATCTAGCCCATGATAGGGAGTGAGATTTTACAGTGTCCCGGTACACTATGATTTTTTTTTTTAACTTTCCATGTATTTAAGCAAATTATATAAGAAATAAATTGAAGATGAGTGGGGAAAGGTATTTGCAAGAGGCGCTAATAAATAAAGAAGGAGTATATGGCATGATGAAGTGGCTGTATCGCTTAATGGAAAATTTATTCTGAAGAAATCACAATGCATTTTTGGGTGTTATATAGACTTTCAACCTTACTATTTTCTAACTCACTTTGTAGACAGACATTAAATTTTAGAAAAACCTGGTATGGTAAGTGATTAATATTGCAAGGAACTAACTATACAGAAGTCACTCAGGAGGTCACTGATTGAATCACAAGCCTCAAGTCCCACTATACCAGTGGTTCTCAACTTATTTATCATTGTGGGCTGCATATGCGGCACACAATGTATTACCTGGGCTGCAGGGGCTGGATGGCAGGGCGGCAGCAGCAGCCCAGACCCCGACCCCGACCCCCGGGCCCCTGCCATGCAGGGCCAGGTGGCTGCCTGACCTCAACCCCGGAGCTTGCGGGACCAGGCAACTGCCCGGATGCCACTGTGCTGGGCAGCCGGGAACCCCACAGGCCAGCCTTTAGTGCACAGCTGAGGTGGGCCGCAGCTGCATGCTAACTGGGCTATGGGTTGAGAACCGCCGCACTATATCATAATCCTATTCTAAGTAATGACAGCATAAAGACTTTAATAAGGAAGGTATATTTTTAGTTTAAATACACCTCTCTCATTATTAGTGGAAATAAAAGATTATTTTGGGGGTATGTTTTTGTATTTAGTTTCCACCCTGAGTACCAGTGTGAAAACAGCATTTAAACTGAGGAAATCTGTATGTCATATTTTTCTTACAATGTGGGTTATAAAATTTTCAGCCCAATGCATTCTAGTGTAACAGTAAGACAACATAATAAGACTTCACAAAGTTTTTAGTTGTAATTGACTTTTCAACTGGCCACATTGTTAAAATCTATTTGGCTCTTAGTAGAGAAATAATTAGATAGTATTTACATATATTAGTGAACCAGGAAGAACTAAAGGAAAAAATGGCGTAACAGCTGGGAAAGCTTGAAGAAAAAACATTACTATTTTCCAGGTTCAAAGTGAAATGTAAAAGACAACGTGCAAGAAATAAAATGAGGAATGCACTCAAGTACTGCAATCCAAGGTTAGTACATTTCGTAAAAAGTTTAGAATGATTATTGTCTGACATTACAAATTATTTAAGCCACACTTGTCATTCTTCTCTCTTCTTTCAGGTTCTAGAATATTGAAGTAATCTTGAAGAAATCTACTTCCAGTGGTCGACAGGAAGCTTTGACTTGACTAACAAACATTGGGGCCTAAGTCATCAATTACTGAAGAATTTAAGCTTTCATTAAATATGAAATCTAATGTAAAGAAAATCTATAGTTGCTACGATAACTATCTGTGAACAGACTGTGAATGGATGCAGTGTTGCCTGCCCCAGTCTGCAGGCAGACTGCTGCAGAGCCTCTATTGCTACTCACAGCCTTGCTAAGCAGCAAAATGAAATTATGATGACTTGATTCACTTTCTCCACCGGTATTCAGAAGCCTCTGCCGTTGGTTGGGAAGTTACCAACAACAGGAGAGGTAGGAGAGGTAGGAACTATAGCTACTCAAACAGAAAGGATTTAGAAAAAAGTCTGTGGAAGCATAGTATAGTGAAGATCAACCCTTATAACGGCAGCCAGGAAGAGCCCAGAGCAGCTGTCCACTAGAATCTGAAGAACCAATAGTGGATGTCACAGCCCAACAGCTACCACTATTACATCTCAAGCAGCTGCTGTCAGTTTCTCACTTTCATGGGCATGAAAAAGTCACACACTTTACCACCATGTTCTTCTACATCACCATTTATCCAAGGATTAATCATGCAATAGAACACATTTTGGAGGTAGATAAGTAGTAGCTTCATCTGGGGTACAAAGAAGTTAACTGACTCAAGGTGACTTGGTGAGAAGACTCGTAATAAAACCCATGAGTCCTCTCTTTCATTCCAACTACTAAAATACCCTTGCCTTAAACAATAAATCTTGCCTTTGGGCTAACATTATATACAAAACTGATATTTGTAGGAAAACATTAGTCAAATAAAAATTCAGAGATTCCCGTTTGTTGTGGCAGAATTGTTTAACTATGTTTTAAAACTGTTCCACATTGACGTGAAATATCCCGCACGCTTTCTAAGTAAGGGATTTGCTCTAGTGTTCTGAATCAAACTCTCTTCTACCCCTGCTACTGTGCAGTGAGATGTGGGCTGGTTAGCAGTCCTCGTGGCTGAATTTCGGGGGCACTCTATGTAGAAACACTAACATTTTCAAATTAGAGTAGCTTAACTTTAAGCACTTCAGTAAGTGGCCTGCTTCTCAGAGGCGCTGAGGACTCACTTCACCGCCGTGGGTGCTACAGGGAATAACCATTTGTTTAGGTGCTGAACTTTAAGGCACCCACAATTGAAAGTGTTGTCTACACACACACACTGGCATCTGTGTGGGGCTCAGAGACGCCAGGAGAACCCGGCCCTCACCCCTCCAAAGGGGCAACTTATTTAGCTGGTAACTTTAAGCAGCCAAGTTTGAAAGTTTTGGCCGCAGCCTGTACAGCCCTTTCCAAGCTGACGTGGAGATGGAAGGGAGACGGGGCTTGATTTCAGGGCAGTGTTCGTGTCTCCCAGCTTCCGCCCCCCCAGCTCTAGTCCCCTGGCCCCCAGCCCCTGTCCCCAGCCCTTGTCCCCTCCGACCCCCAACTCCTGCTGTCCCCTCCCGCCCCTCAGCTCCTGTCCTCGCGCCCCCCAGCTCTACCCCGGCGCCCCCCCACACCTGCCCCCTTTCTCACCGCCCATGCCCGCTACCTACGGCATGATGGCAGCGCCGGCAGCCGCTCCGGCACCCCCCGGGCTTGCTCGGTTCCCGCCCGCCGTGTACCACCCAAACCTCACCGGCTGGAAACACCGTCCAGAGGAGGCGGCCGGTTCCGTTCAGGCCGGGGCGGCCCGTACCCGACGCACCGAGGCGGAGGGCGCACGGCGGCGGCGACAGGCCCGGGCCGAGGCCAGGAGAAGGTCCAGGTCCGAAACAAGGAGTCCCCAAGGTCAGCACAGGAGGGGTCACTCCATCCCCTCCCCATTGCCTTCTGCTCTCTGCCCCTTCCCATGCGCGGTCTCTGGGGCAGCCCCCGGCCCTTCTCCCTCCCTCCGTTTAGGGCCTGGGCACGTTCGTTTACAAATTAAACCGGGAGAAAGGAGAAAAATCCCCCCAGCTGGAAAGAGACCGCGTCCGCCACTGCCCCTTGGCAACAGCCTCGGGACCCCAGGTGCTGCCTAGAGCTAGTCAGTGAAACATTGGGAGGGGGGTTAAATTGCCCCAAACTAGGCTTGAAATCTCACTGAAACACACAGAAGCAGGATTCCGTGGGCAGAAGGGGAGATGTTTCGGAAGTGGCTTAACATAATGTCGTAAGAGAGAGCTTCTTGCTTCCCAATGAGTGAGATCTGGTAGGTTTGCCTTTCCTGTGATGAAATGGTAGACACTAGAATTTTCATCAGAGAACTCATCATAGAAATGTAGGGCTGGAAAGGGCTTGGAGAGGTCATGTAGTCCAGCCCCCTGCCCTGAGGCAGGAAAAAGTAAACCTACACCATCCCTGATAGGTGTTTGGCCGGGGGCATGCCACAACCTCCCTTGGAAGCCTATTTCAATGCTTAACTACCCTTGTAATTAGAAAGTTTATCCTAATATCCAACCTACATCTCCCTTACTGCAGATTAAACTGATTATTTCTTGTCCAACCTTTGGTGGACCCGGAGGACAACTGATCACAGGTTTTAGCCTCCGAAAGCTTATGCCCAAATAAAATTGTTAGTCTCTAAAGTGCCATAAGGACTCCTCATTGTTTTTGCTGATACAGACTAACACGGCTACCACTCTGAAACCAATCCTCTTTGTAACAGCCCTTAACATAGTTGAAGGCTGTTATCAGCTCCCACATCAGTCTTCCTTTCTCAAGAATCTTGGGGAGAGCTGTTAGGTCATCTAGTCCCTCTCCTTTCCTCTGATGCACAGTTATTCCTTACTATATATATATTTTAGTGCTTCATCATCTGTCCAGTTGAGATTTTAATGACCCAAGCCGTGGAGCTTCCACCAGTTCCCTTGGAAAACTATTGCACACTAGACTTCAAATAACATTGGCAGCACCACCTGCTGCACAAATAATAAATCGGTTGGTAATGAGTGGGCTGAGGAGCATAAACAACAGTTCATATTTTATAAAGCTAGTTACTGGAAAATTAACATTTATTCTCCTTTTCCTCCTTGACTTTAACCCACTTCCATTTTGTGAGTGTAACACTGGTACTTAATTATAGTGACACCCGTTTACAGGACCAGACTGAATCACTGTGTCCCTGTGGGGTCTTTCTAATGCCAGTGTAATATGAAAGTGTCAGGCAGGCGGTCTGTGTATTATAAATAGGGTACTTCATCCATGATAAGCGATTATTATCTTTCTTTCCCAAGTGGAAAAGACCTATATAACTCAGGAAAGTGCGAGTGATTTAGCCCTCTTGAGTAAGAATCCAATGAGTCCTGAAGGGGACCCTACCTATGCCGTTATCTTGTTGTTGAACTTGAGATATTCAATTTATTATACGGGAATATATTTTCAGAAGTCAAAGCTGGGTAAAATAATGTTAGAGGCTGTTAGGCCAACAGTACAGCACAATTTAGTGTACCTCTGTGGTGGCCTTCTAAAAACCTTAATCACCTTCGGTAAAGAAGAAAACCACTGTTAAAGTTCACTGCTGTTTATGAGCAAAAGGTGTTATTGTCTTGAATTATTTCAGTTATTGAAAAAAAATCCAGATTTTTCCCCACTCTGTTCTGTGTAGTTTTATGGTGGTATGTTGTAGTTTAAGGTCCTAAATGCTGCAAACGCTTATGCCATGCTTAATTTTAAGCATCCAAATAGTTCCATCAGTTTGAATGGATATGCTTAACTTTACGTGTTTGAAGGATAGGTGTGTAAAATTTTGACAGTGTTTCCACTGTTAGACATGCTTTTAAAGAAATTACAGCTAGGGAAAAAATTTTCTAAATATGGGCTTTAAACCAGATAAATTACTTTATTAACTTAATTTTTTTTATCTTGAATGGAAAAAAGATTTTTTTCCAGTAGGTTTTCCCTGCTGAAACAATGTGGAACTGATCAGCCTAATGGTTTCTAAATCTGCTGGATTTTTAGATTTGGGAGGATGAATAAAACCCAATAGTAAAAGCAACAAAGTATAATCTTTCAGTGCACAGTTACTCTTACCAAATATATCTCCAGATACAGCAAGTCTCTAGTAATAAGAAGCTTGCAAAAAAGCCAACATATATGCCATACATGAGGACTTTTAACACGTACATTTAATTACAATGCTTATCTTGTTATCACTGTTCTCCTTTTCCTGCGTCCCCCAACCTTTCCAAATATGTGTTACACCTACATGTTGCATTTTGTTCTAAATCAGTAAGCTTTTTGAGTCTGAGACTGTCTTACTCTGTTTGTATGGAACCTAACATAATTGTGGGGGTTCATCCCTGACTGGGGCCTCTTGATGTTACCCTTACAGCTGTGCAGTGTCACTCAGGTCAGTCAGACTCTGGGCATAAAGACTGCCCTGATCACTTTGTATGAGCTCTGTATCTCTGTGGCTAAAATTCTGATCAGCTCTGAAAACTCAGGTTTCAGAGTAACAGCCGTGTTAGTCTGTATTCGCAAAAAGAAAAGGAGTACTTGTGGCACCTTAGAGACTAACCAATTTATTTGAGCATGAGCTTTCGTAAGCTCATGCTCAAATAAATTGGTTAGTCTCTAAGGTGCCACAAGTACTCCTTTTCTTTTTTCTGAAAACTCAGACTCCCAAAATTCTGTTTTTCCTCAGGACACTAGTGTTTGGGTACCCATTTGTTCAGAATAGTTGAGCAAATACTCCATGCTGGATCTCTATATCAGTCGATCTCTGGAAATATGTTGCCTGTTTCTTTATGTTTTAAGCAGTCATTTACAGAGTGGTGAAAAACCACATTCCACACACTTTCCACTTCCACTAGGGTGTGTCCACATGAGCATCTTTCCCCAAAAGTATTCCATCTTTACTACTACCGACTAAGTTCAACCAGTAGCACTAATAATGAGAGTGCCAGTGTGGACGAGGTGGCTGCTGGCCTGCCGGTGGTTTTTTTTTACCACTGTTCTGAATAACTCTGCCCACAGCAAGCCTAGACAACAGTGGTTAAAACACCAGAGGACACTAGTACCTTGTCCATACAAGTGCTCCCACTGTTGCTATTCACAGATGAGTTGAGCCAGTGATAGCAACAGTAGGACATTTTAGGAAAAAAGTGTAGTGTAGACAATCCCTAGAGGCTTAATTCTAATTTTGGCTAAGGTATGCATCACCTCGTATGGTATCTTGGAAAATTTGCTACAGTGTAGATAAATAAATAATAATGAATAATACTTAGCACCTACATAGTTTAAATTCATGGATTTCAAAGCACTTTACAAAGGCAGTTAAGTAGCATTACCCCCATTTTACAGCAGAGAAACAGATTCACAGAGAGTTTAAGTGAATCTGTTCGTGAGGGGACAGAGCAGAGACATACTTACACACTATGAAAGCAAAAGCAAAAGACTTTAAATATGTTTGTATTATTCACAGAATGGCCAGCAGTCCTGGAAGTAATGCATCCCTCTCCCGTGAGAAAACCATACTCTCAGAAAGTTCTCAAGCAAAGAAATCACAGTATTCTGAAGAGGAGTCCTTTTATATGAACTGCAGAGCGGCCTACCTAGCTGTTTTTAAAAGCAGCTTAGAAAATATTAAATCAAAAGAACAACTATGTTTAGGTAATGAGTAGGAGATAATTTTCTTTACTTGAATGTTGTGTGTGAAGATTACAGTAGTTGATTTTCAAACCAACAGCCAGCATTTCACTGGTGGAAATACCCCAGCACATAATGGAGCTTGGTCACAATAGCTTCTTTTAAGGATTCAGGCAGTTCTTGGTGGGGTTTGGGTTTTCAAGCATCAGTGGCTGTATCTATAAAGACACTTCCAAGGTTTATACCTATTATAAAATATATCATCGTTTTTCAAATAGTTTACCGAAAGTATTTTTTCTCAATATTTTTCATTTTCCTTAAATTCTTAATCTATATTACTAGGTATTGGATAGTTCGTGGAAGTGGGAATGATATACAGAGCCTTTCACCTCTAAATCACCACTCTGAATGAGCAAAAGTCAATACCACCTAACAATTATTGGGGGGCCTAAGTGAGTTATTTAACAGCACCACATTTGATGGTGGCATCGTTGCCTACTTGAGGTGGGCCTGGATACTGCTTTGTGGTGGTGACATTTTTCAGTAAAGTGTTTCCCTCTCTCTGACAAGTGATAAATTACAATGAGTTATTCTCAGTTCAGTTTCTAGTGGACAAGTGTCCCTAGCACAGAAAATCGCCATGGCAACCGGCATTAATTGTCACAGGGGTTTGCAGTCTCATCAGAAAAGTTGTTAAATGAGAAATGGAGATTGACCGACCCTTTCAACCCAAGACATGGTCCCCCAGAACAGGGTTGAGAAACACTGACTATGTGGTACATGAAAATCTTTCCCTGCCTATGAATGTGTTTTGTGCATAAATGGACGACTTCAGTGTTTCATAAGAACTGCATTAATTTGTAAAAAATGTAAATGTACCTTAAGTTAAAGCACTTCTCAGTTTCCTAAATTTCAAGCCAGATGTTTTATTCTTTTATCAGTATTATTTTGGGCTGTCGATTAATCGCAGTTAACTCATGCGATTAACTCAAAAAAATTAAACGCGATTAAAAAAATTAATTGCGATTAATCGCAGATTTAATTGCACAGTTAAACAATAGAATACCAATTGAAATTTATTAAATATTTTGGATGTTTTTCTACATTTTCATATATATTGTATTCTGTGTTGTAATTGAAATCAAAGTGTATATTATTTTTGATTACAAATATTTGCACTGTAAAAATAACAAACTAAAGAAATAGTACTTTTCAATTCACCTCATACAAGTACTGTAGTGCAATCTTTGTCGTGAAAGTGCAATTTACAAATGTAGATTTTTTTTGTTACATAACTGCACTCAAAAACAAAACAATGTAAAACTTCAGAGCCTACAAGTCCACTCAGTCCTATTTCTTGTTCAGCCAGTTGCTAAGACAAACAAGTTTGTTTACATTTACAGGAGATAATGCTGCCCGCTTCTTATTTACAATGCCACCAGAAAGTCAGAACAGGTATTTGCATGGCACTTTTGTAGCCAGCATTGCACGGTATTTATGTGCCAGATATGCTAAACATTTTTGTGCCCCTTAATGCTTTGGCCACCATTTCAGAGGACATGCTTCCATGCTGATGATGCTCGTTACAAAAATAAGGCGTTAATTAAATTTGTGACTGAACTCCTTGGGGGAGATTTGTATGTCCCCGTTCTGTGTTTTACCCACATTCTGCCATATATTTTATGTTGTAGCAGTCTCGGATGATGACCCAGCACATGTTGTTCATTTTAAGAACACTTTCACTGCAGATTTGACAAAACGCAAAGAGGGTACCAGTGTGAGATTTCTAAAGATAGCTACAGCACTCGATCCAAGGTTTAAGAATCTGAAGTACCTTCCAAAACCTGGAGGGACGAGGTGTGGAGCATGCTTTCAGAAGTCTTAAAAGAGCAACATTCTGATGCGGAAACTACAGAACCCGAACCACCAAAAAAGAAAATCAACCTTGTGCTGGTGGCATCTGACTCAGATAATGAAATTGAACATGTCAGTCTGCACTGGTTTGGATTGTTATTGAGCAGAACCTGTCATCAGCATGGAAGCTTGTCCTCTGGAATGGTAGTTGAAACATGAAGGGATATATGAATGTTTAGCACATCTGGCATGTAAATACCTTGCAACATCAGCTACAACAGTCGGTTACAAATACCTGTTCTCACTTTCTGGTGACATTGTAAATAAGAAGATGGCAGCATTATCTCCTGTAAATGTAAACAAACATGTGTGTCTAAGCGATTGTCTGAACAAGAAGTAGGACTGAGTGGACCTGTAGGCTCTGAAGTTTTGCATATTTTTGTTTTTGAGTGCCGTTACCTAACAAAAAAAAATTTGTAAATTGCACTTTCACAACAAAGAGATTGCACTACAGTACTTGTATGATGTGAATTGAAAAATACTGGTTCTTTTGTTTATCAGTTTTACAGGTCTCACTTTCAGGTGACATTGTAAACAAGTAGCGGGCAGCATTATTTCCTGCAAATGTAAACAAACTTGTTTTGTCTGAGCAATTGGCTGAACACGAAGTAGGAATGGATTGAGCATACTTGCAGGCTCTAAAATTTTACATTGTTTTATTTTTGAATGCAGGGTTTGTTTTTTTTACATAATTCTACATTTGTAAGTTCAACTTTCATGATAAAGAGATTGCACTACAGTACTTCCATTAGGTGAATTGAAAAATACAATTTGTTTTGCTTTTTTACAGTGCAAATACTTGTAATCAAAAATAAATATAAAGTGAGTGCTGTACACTTTGTATTCTGTGTTGTAATTGAAATCAATATATTCGAAAATGTAGAAAGCATCCAAATATATTTAAATGTATTCTCTTATTGTTTGACAGTGCGATTAATCACGATTAATATTTTTAAACACTTGACAGCCCTAGTATTATTCTACTTCATTGTGTGATTAGGTGACATCCGCAACGGTCCAACAATGTATCTTTTTTGTTTGGTAAATGCAGTTAGTAGTAGTAAGTATAAATACTTGATTGAAAATTATGATGCTTAGAAAAAGTACAAAAATAACTCGAAGTTCCACAGCTAATTGGTTGGAACTATGAAAACGAACAATTTACACAGTAAGTTAGTGAAAAAAAATGGTTTCTAAATTGGGCTAGGGACTGGGTATTGGTTTACTTAAAATGTTTTAATTAGTTATTCTGTTAAATGGATATTTGGAATAGGTTTCATAGTTCCATCTAGAAATCTGTACAGCTTCAGTGTTGCCAACTCTTGCAAGTTTATCATGTATCACAGTATTTGGTGTTTTTCTTAAAGCCGCAGCACCTGGAGTCCTATGATTAAGAGAAAAATTTAGCTTACTTTTTAAAAAAAATAGAAGTTTCTAGGCCTCATGGTTGCAGAGAAAAGCTTGAAAACATGAACTGTAAAAAGGCTAAAAACCAGAAGGCATATAAAAAGAACACAAATCTATGTTTTTTAAAAAAACCCTCATGATTTTGAAGCTAATATGATTTTTGAACACTTGGAATTGTCAGTGCTGCAGTGTTGCTTGCTAAGGGTTTATCAGTAGTAGATTATGGTGTCAGGGAATAGCATCTTTGTAGAAGACTGTAGAGGTTATGTAATCACAGAACAAACAAAAAGTAAATAGAAAAGCATTCTGACACTATGGTCAGTCATAATATTTAGGGGCACTGTATTCCTTTTCCTCAGCTTAAAATTCATTACCTCCAGACTTTCATTCTCTTTAATCGTAGTCCATACCTACAACATGTGAGCTTTTTACCAGGAAGCCAGTTAGCATGTAAATCTGATGGTTTTAGATTGACAGCTTCTCTCCAAATACCAGTACTTGAAATACCATTCTCTAACAAGCATACTCTTTCAGCATATGACTCAGTCTTCTGCAGACTGACAGAGTTAAGATAGAAGCCCCTTATAACATCGTAATTATGGTTTTAAAATAAGAGTGGTGTGAACAAATGTCATCTCTTTTATATATGTGCTGTGCCTTTCATCTCTATCCATATGCCACTTGGGCACATAGCAAGTGTTTAGGCATTTTGGTTTCAAGGTCAGCTAATAAAGGGCAATTACTGGTTCAGGCTCCCAGTCTTCTCAGAGCTGCGTGTGAACTTTTTTTCCCTTTTAAACTTGTAAGTGTTAAGAGTCATTATAGGCTTGTGTAAAAGCTTAGCGTAAATCCTGGCAAAGAATCAAATCAGTGGTGTTGAAGCATCTGTAGTTACATGATGTTTGGTTAATAACACAAACTGTGCTATTAATTTAGAGCCTGCTCCGACAAAACCTTAGAGGAGTCATAGTTGCTCACTGAATGTACTATAATATAATGTTCTATCTTGTAACTCAGGTATTTAGCAGAATCCAGTTAAAGAAACAAAAATAAAAGATGCGATTTAAACAATCTTTCAAAAATATAGTCTTGGGAGATATGTTTGTAGCAATCACTGATCTCCCTGGAATGATAAATGATACAGGTAGCAGAATCTTGCAGTATATTTATCAAAAAACATTTATTTAAATACAAGTGAATAATCAGCTCATGAAGGGTGCTAGATTGACAGCCCGCGAGACTGGGTTATCCACATAACAACACACATTGAGAATGATTGCCCTTCCTTAGCTGACCTTGAAACAGAAATGCCAAACAAGTGGCTATGTGCCCAAGAGGTACATGAATAAAGACGCAAGCTACCCCATATTCACCAGCCTCCACTCTGTGCCCATTTGGTCCTGGGGGGGAGGGGGGAACTCACACATTAGATTGGGAATAAAGGTGCCAATTATGAAAAGGGGTTCTTTGGAGATTCTTTCTTTATACTGCCCACCTACTAAGAATTGTGATGATACTACCAGTTTATTTCAGACAGGCTACTGAACAGCGCTGAGCTGGTAAAGACTTAGTTATTACAGATCTGGATAAAAATCAAACTACTGACCTACCAAGAGAGTTTTCCTAAACCATCTAATTCTCTGAAGTGGGTGGGGGTTATGACATCGTATTAACTAGACAGCATATTTGAGTTTAGCTTGAATTTAAGATAATACCGTCTTCACATTATAAACTGATGAAAGCCTAATGTAAGTGAAGATTTTTCAGAAGCTAGCTAGAAGTAGCAAATCCAACTTCTGCAACTACCATGTACAGGAGCAGTGGGACTTGTTGCAGACATGTTATCGGCTTTATTTTATTATTAATTTTACTATCTAACAGTTTACTGGGAATTATTTTTTTTCTTTTTACATTTGAAATTCATGTTGTATAATCTGAACTATTTGATTGATACAGAAATAATTCTACAGCTCATTTATGGTAGGCTGTGCACTGAGAGCCTGACCCAATTTCTATTAAAGTAAACGGAAAGACTCTCATTGACCTCAGTACATGGATCTGGCCCAGAATTTGTGGCTTTACAAATAACAGGTAGTTATATTAAATCCTGCCGATTACACACCGTGGGCCAAATCCTACAGTTACTACTGGGGGTGGGGGTTAGGGAGGAATTTCCCTTTCAGGTCAGTGGGTATTTTGCCTGATTGAGTGTCTGATCTTGCAGGTCTTACTTTTGTGAATAGTCCCATTGAGTTCAGTGGTTCTACGTACACAAGTAAGAGACAGCTGCTGACCAGATCCTGTGGGCTAAATTGTGGCTTTGCCACACCCTTGTGTATGAGGCAGCACATAGTTCTAGTAGCACTTACACCCAGCCTGTGATTCTTTAGGTGGGAGGAGGAGTACTCTGTGCTAACCCTGTACCTGGCACAGTGTACTTCCTCAGTATGCCAATGAGTGCATTGGGAGGGAAAGAAACCAAGGCACTACCTATTCTCACCAACATGTACAGTGGGGATGTAGTACCCCATCAGAGGCTTAAGCTTCTCTTGCACCCTCTTCCTTCCCAGTGCGGGTGTGCAGAATGGTCCACCGTGTAGCATTAAATCAGGAACACAGGATTGAGTCTACATCCATGTCACAGCTACTGCAGTTAAGCAAAGGTTTATCATTCATGCCTACTTTTGCCTTTGATTGATTGGATTAAAAAAAACCTGTCTTAACCTATGAACTGATTAAAGGATAGTTTGAAAAAATCATATATATTTTGGCTGTCAGTGTCAATGAAGAGTTGATATTATATTTTATTATGCAGTGCTTCAACAGGCTGGAAGAAATCCATCTCAGAAGACGGTTAATCAGTACTGGACTCCCCAGACCACCACACTGAATTTTGATGATTTTTGCAATATCTTAAAAAAAGAAAAAACAGCTACAAAAACAGAACTGCTCAAAGCATTTTTAAAAGTGGATACAAATAATGATGGATATATTTTGCACACTGAACTTTATAAAATTCTTACAATGGTAAGTATCTTGGAAAGTAAATTACAAATTTTGATATAGAGCTATAATTTACAGAAAATTGGTATAGTAGAAGAACCAACCTTTTTAAATTTTAAAAATCATAGAAACAATCCTGAATATTCAAAAATTGATTTTTTAGGGGGAAACAATCTATATCTGAAATATTTTAATGATTTCTTTTTAAGTGTCATACTCCCTTGGCTATCTTTCTCTCCCTCTTTCTTATTTTTTTCCCCTTACAGTCCTGAAATTGTATGGTCAACCCAACTGCTTCTCTCAGTTCCAGCCCATAATGAATGAAGATCAACTGAAAAATAATTAAATTACTTTTTTATAAGAAAACACTACCTATCTGTCCCGCACTGATGCAGCAGGATTGGAAGCATATAGCCCTTGCTAAGTTCAGTGCCTAGTTCTGTTTTGTTCCAGCAACTTCTATGCAAATCCCTTGCTTTTGAAAGGGCCTTTTGCAGTCCTATGGGACAGTTTCATTAGCTTAGTAAAGTTTATTCAGTTATTATGCTCCCTTCACACATTTTGTCTCATTCCTGCATGCTCAGAAATAACTTCCCCCGCCCCCTAAACATAATGATGGGGTCCATGATCCCTTTACAGCCATGACAAAAATACCACATTACTGCAGCCATACCTCTGAGCTCAGGCTCTTACCTCATCAAGTTGCACAATGTAAGCTGTGATAGGGCTAGAAGCATAGTGCATAGCAAGGTTGTGTGTGAATTACAGTGAAATAGCTTGTTGCACACTAAGTGGCCAGGCCATGTGGACCGGGCTGCTGCTCACTAAAAGTTCCATAGTATACTTCGATGTGTGCACTATGGAGCATTTAGTGCGAAGCAGCAGGGTCCAGTTGGACAGATGGCAGGACCCTTAACAATCAGGTGCTGTATGGGTACAAATATTGATAGTAGCAACAACAGGGAAATGATCTTTGTGTAGTACAAGGTGAAAGGAGCAGGTCTTGAATGTAGCTATAGCCAACACCATGAAGTGCTATAAAATCAGTAGGTCTAATTTAAAGTAATCCACCATTTTATAAGGAACCGGTGTAAAAGAACTCAGCATGGGCTAAATAAGTGACTAAAATGTAAAATATTTTTAAATTAGCTCTTGGTTGTAATACATTAATTAGAGTATATGTAACAGTGGGATTGAACCTAGGACCTCTGGAGCTAAATGCATGAGCCAAAAGCCACCTGTCTGTTAGTTAAGATGGTAGCAGACTCATTAATCTCTAAATGGTCTAGTTGCCACTAGTGGGGGACAGAGCACCACCCAACAGGCATGGGTTACATATAAATATTAATTTAATTGACTGGGAATTGCTATGCTACAAATCCTCAGTGCCTGGTACACCAACTAAAGTCAACGTTAGTTCCACACATGGAGGGCTTGTAGAATGGGACCTTGAAATTGCATGAGCTTAGTTATTCATCTTCCAAGTATTTAGTAGTGTTTCAAATACATTAAAATATCATTTACAATGCTGATCACTATTTTGGGGATTTAAACTCAGACCAATGTAAATGTGCTGCAGATAAGATTTCTGGAAAGAATGTTAAAGTATTCCTATTTCCTTTGTATAATCTTCAAACCAGTGATGTCGGTGAACAATGTTCTTTAGTAGGAACTGATATTTAAACTGTTTATCACAGAGAGGTGAGAAGATGACTGTAGAGGAAGTGAATGCCATCACTAAATTGGCTGATGTAAACAGCAATGGCAAATTTGATTATAACCAGGTATGGTAAACAAGGTGACAATATTTTTGTATATGATGTTGGATTAATCAAATTCTGTAGCTACTTCCTAAGACACACTAATAGGTTTTAGTGCAGATATTTTAAGGTTTGCAGATTGCCAAGTGCTGGGGGGAGGGCTAGTTTAGGTGATATGGTTCCCAAAGGACTTAATATTGTTATTATTTATTTTATTTATTTATTATTAGTATTGCCATAGTGCCTAGGAACCCTTGCCATAGACCAGGACCCCATTGTGCTAGGAGCTGTACAGATAATATGGGAGCACCATTTCTCTGGCGTACAATGCGCTTCCTTTGATAATATCCTCCAACAAAGGTCACTTTGTACTGGTGAACCTAGCTATGCTCAAGGATGCAACCTGGTTCCAGGGGTGGGACTGGCAGTAGTAGCAGGTCAAGAGTGGCAAATGAGAGCAAACCTGGATATTCAGCATGGATTAGCACTGTAATGCCTTTTTAATCTATATTATGAGTACGTTCTTGGATAATATGCAATTTCTTTTGTGGGTGAGGTTATCGCATGTACTCGGCATCTATTTTTCAAAGTAAAATATCTCTTCAGTTTTATGTTATTTCAAACTGCACCTCTAAGCAATGTCTAAATTTTAAACAGTCAAAGTCCACAAAAGACTTGCACCATAAAAACAGTTTCACAGAAAAACAGCAACCCTCCATTAAAAATTAGACATAAAAACAAGTCCGCAAATGTCTAGCAGATAATATAAATCATCTGTTGGGGTGAAATTCATATTTCATTTTCACTTTATAGTGTGACCTCTCTACTGAATCATGGCTCCATTTTTACTATGTCACTTGAGAGTGGTCATTCTGATTCATGAAAATAAAATGAGCATTGTTCTTCAAGAGAAACTAGATTCCATCTATTGATTTATCCTGTGCTTACTAATGTGTGTGTTTTCCCCTAAAACTGTATTAAAGAATGTTTCACATTTTCATTGTGCAAAGTTTTGTAAATTATACGTGACAACCAATGAGCAATGTCGTAAGACTGCACTAGAGAAACTAGAAGTTGACAATAGACTGAGGCGTCAGCAGTTTGGAAGTCAAGTTGAAACCTCCTCTGAAAGGGCAACATCACCAATATCAAAACCATCATCAAGGACCAAGAGGAAAATGGATCACAAGCCAGCACCAAAGAGAGGTATTACTTTTTATGCAGGGAGGCTCCATTCCAGGAGACAGGGCCCATTCTCCCAAGTGAATCAGCAGATTTTCTCATACTAGCACAGACTTGACTAATAATCATTTTGACTGTGGCAACCACAGAAAATCCCCACTTGGATTTCAGAGCCCCTTGCTCAAACGGACTTTGGCTGCATCTCTTATCTAAGACCATCAAATTTTTCTTAGGACTAAAATCAGTTGATTCTTGTGTGACACGGTCCAGAGCAAAGAGAGAAAATGAGCCTACAGATGTTGCAGTATGTCAGGGTATTTATCTCATATCCTGATAAGAAGTGAATCCTAAAACATTTATCAACAGGAAAGATATTAGCTTTCATTTATAAAGTAAGGTATTTAAACATGTGAGTAGTCTTATTAACTTCAATATGTCTACTCGTGCTTAAAGTTACACAAAGGCTTAAGTACCTTACCGAAGCAGGGCCAAGATTACAGGAATATAATGACAGTATATAAAATATCTACATTTGTACATAGATTAGGGAAAAAGGAGTTTTTGTTTTATTTGCAAAAGAAAAGGAGGAATTACTCCATACGGCTAAATGCAGTGCCTTGCATACAGGTTTCAGAGGAACAGCCGTGTTAGTCTGTATTCGCAAAAAGAAAAGGAGTATATCGGTCACTTTTGGTTTCAATTCAAGGAAAAATCATGCTGAAATTGAAAAAATGCAAAGAAATGTGACGAGAGGAAATGAAAAGACTGGGATTGTGTGGTCTAGAAGGTTAAGAATACTTGCTTGACGTGTACAAGGAGGGAGATGGTGGTAGTGGGACTAGCCCGTGGTCATGTGATTAAAAAATCATAAGGGAATTCTGTTCATTAACATAAAGTTTTGTCATGTAGTTCTTTGTGTGTGACTTTGAATGCAAATATATACAAATAAATACCATTTGTAACATTCTGAAACAATGGAAAACAGCCAGTGTAAATAAATAAATATCTATGTTATAGGTGACAACAGAACTTCTTCAAGGCCATCATCAGCCCAAAGTTGCAAAGCATCCATTTCTTCCACTATCAGCATGGGCACCAGCAGTAACACAAATTCAGAGCTAATTGAGCCAAACACAGTAAAGGTACTCTGTATGTTAGTTAGTTCTGTTTAAATTATGCCGTTTTAGTTTAAGCACACACACTGTTGCATTTTAAATAGAAACAGTTTTGCTCTGAATTTTGTCTCTTATGTTAGTAGTTTGTCAAGGACAGCTATACACTACAGAGATTTCATGATGCAAAATATTATTAATATTTTTATATATTGTTGGTTTTGCTGACATCCAGTTACTGAAAATAATTTTTCAGGTGTGAAGGTTTAATAGAACAAAGTATATTTTTATAAATGAAACCACTGTTGGATAAAACATATAATGACTTTCTGAGAAATTTAAAATTGAATAATTTATTAGATTGGTGAGAACTTTAAATGCTTAAGTAGTCTGAAAGATTTGTATCATAAACCTTTATAAGAATGGTAATTGGAAATAAATAACAGATCTCCAAACATACTCAGTTCAATGAACATTAATTTGTAAATATATCCGGTAGCCTGGAAATATTGATTTTATATTTAGACTAATATGTTCTATAAGTATTTTTGTTTAAATAAATCACTCATTCAATATAAATTCCTGTGGGAGAAGGACAACAAAGTCACTTTGTTAAGTCAATATTTGTAGAGTGTTAATATTGATCTTTTTCCTTTGTTTTCCCTTTCTTGACTCAACCTTTACTAGTTTTCTTTCAACAGAAAATAATAGCTACAGAAATATAAAACATTACCTGGAAACTGCTAGGGTACATTAAAAATGTGCACCTTGAGACCTCTGTGTAAAAGGGAAAAAATGGTTATGACCACATAGTATAACTACTGCTGGAAAACGCAACTGATTGTTCTCATGAGGTACATTTTGTTTCAAATAACAACTCTGTATTTGTTATTGAACTCTGAAGTCCTTTATATCTTTAACATTGCTGGATAGTGACATTTGTTCTATATTAAAATTTAAAAACATGATCTCTGAGGAATTTTTTTCAATCTGTTTAGGTACCTGCACCCCCATGCAATTTAACCTCACTTCCAGCATGTTCAAACGTGATCTGTAGTGTGCGAAATCATATAGTTTTCTGATATTGGATCCCTCTTTATTTTCACAAGCAAATAAAGTTTTAGAAAGTGACCATTAGTGATTACCAGCATATCTTTCCTCAGAAATTAAACCAAATATTGGTCAATAAAAATAAACAGATGTCAGTGGTACTGCTAATTTGTTGCATCCATACTACCTAAGGGTCCTAGCCAAAGCCCAGTGAAATGAATAGACAGACACCCAATGATTTCTTGGGCCTTGTATCAGGACCTAAGAGCATACATTGTTCTCATTCATTTTATATTCACATTTATTTTTCTCCAGAGTTCATCTGTTTTCTGGGACAATTAGAAAGTGTTGTTTTGGTGGACTTGGACCAACACTGGTGTTACTGGTCTGATAGCTGAACATAGTGTAATTAGAACATTTTGAACCTTTATACATTAAAATTGCCATGTAGCATATTATACCCTATGCACAATATAACCCTTCCAACTATTCTTTATTCAGTGGAGCTGTGAGACAAATTCAAAGAAAGGCACATCCAGTATTTTAAGGATCTAACAAACTATTTTAAGGAACACCACAGACTCCCAGCCATTTATCGTCTGTGTCCACAAAAAACTTTAAAAGGAGCCTCTTTTATCAAAAGCAAACTGTATAGATAATCTTCTCCTCCCTGCAGTCTGCACAGATCATGTTCTATGTGACTCCCACTCAGGAAAGAATAACAAGAATCAGGCATCAAGTATATCCAGGTAAAAACAGTTTGCAAAAAATTAAATATTGTTAAGTCTTATGAGGGCTGAGGATGGTCACTTGGGTCAATTCAGGCACAAGTTTGGAGTCAGGAGATCTGTGTTCTGTTCTCAGCTCTTCCAAAGACTACCTGTGTGACCTTGGGCAACTCACTTCAGCTCTGTATGTCTTAGCTTCTCAACTGTAAAACAAGGATAAAGATGCTACTAATTCACAGGGGTGTTGTGAAGCTGGTCACATTAAGGTTCCATTTCTAAATAGTTTGTGAAGGGTACATTCATAATCTGTCATGAGCATGTTCCAGACATGAATAGTATTATATTTGGTTATGATCGTAGTAGTGGAAGGTGTATAGATGGTGATAAACAACCTGTTGGACTCTATCTGTATGTGTACACTGCCTGTGGGAAGTGTGATTCCCAGTGCGGGTAGACAGACTTGAGCTAGTGCACTACAAAGAGCAGTGTGGACTTTGTGGCACTGACGGTGGTTCAGGCTAGCCACCCGACCTCAAACCTCGGGGGACTGGGCAGGCTTGTATTTAGGTGGCTAGCCCAAGCCAAGAGTAATGCCATGACATCTGCACTGCTATTTTTAGTACACTAGCTCCAGCTGAGCTAGCACAAGTCTGTCTACCCGCGGTGGGAATCACACCTCCCAACGGCAGTGTAGACACACAACAACAATCCGTAACGACAACAACGTAAAACATTTCTTTATTTCTACGGGCCATTATTAGTTAGTTAGTTCTCTATGCAGATTTAAAGCAAGACTAAATAAAAAGCCCTTTTTTAAAAAAATGAAAGCATTGTATCCTGTTTTCATATTGTACTGGTGTATCTGGCAAGTGAATCACTGAGAACAAGCTTCTCCCGCCAAGAACGCTCACCTTCAACATTTCTGCTCTCTGTGTACGTGAGAAGCTCTCCACTGACATCAACAGGAGACTTGGGCACAGAGCAGAATGCTGAAAAAGAGATCTGAGAGAAGCCTTCTGCCCCAAAGCAACATAGTTATATACTTTTTTTTATGCAGTTCATGTCCTGCATTGAAATGTAATGGAGAAAACAAAAAATAAGGACAACCAACTCAATTCTTAGTGAAGTGTGTGCCAAGATACTTCTGTGACCTATTCCTGAAGGGATAAATCCTACTTCCCTCCGTGTGGCAGGGCCTCTTGCAGTGGAACTAGTCAGATTCTGTTTTGCAAGAGGACAGTAGGAATAGGATAGGTGTTGGCAGATCAGGGCCGGGCACTGATCTAAAGATTTGGCTTGAAGTGTATGAATAGTCCCTTGCACTAAAGATGGCTTTTATTTGCATTTATGTGTAAGTAACTAGACATTTCCTATAATCCCCATAATGCTTTAGAATTGGAATGCCAATATATAAGATTTACATAAAATTAAGTATTCTACAGTGATGGGTATTGAAAGCAATAAACACTTTTCTGATGTCTTCTCACTGAGTAAAGTAAACATAAGTGTATGTTTTCCAGTTTACCTTATATTTTGTGCTTTTTCATTTCACATTCTCCATTATGAATTGAAATAAAATACACTGTATGTAGGCTGAAAATCAAGCCGGGAAGGTATTCTTTAAGCGTTTATAATGCACATGTTTTTGCAATGTGATATTATTGATAAGTTAAAGAGAGTATAGCACCACCTCATGCTCTGTTTAAGCATAACAAGCCAGTATTTGAATTCTCAAGGGCTCTCAAACTATTTCATAGTGTTGACTGCATCTGAATGGAGAAAAATTGTCTCAAGACCCACTGAATTCCTACATTTTGGGATTATAGCACATCCTTGTGATAACTACCTAAATTACTTAACATGAAAAAGTAATGGTAGGAAAGTAGTAGCTGCCTTCCATGTGATGTTACAGTTGGAAACAAGGAGAACCACCAGATATGTAGTGAGGTGGCTTCCCACAGATCAGCAATGGTCTATGGATCAGTTTGGGAACCTCTGTCCTAGTAAGAAAGGGGAGGTAGGAAATTATTTTTAAAGAGGCATTTTTGTACATGATAATTTATTGTATCATTTTGAAAAGATACAACACATTTGGGCTGCTCTTTAAACAATTTACTGTGTACCTTGAAATCTCTTAAAACCCAGTCCTACTATTTCATTAGTTTAACCCTTGAATTTCATCTCGCCTGAAATGTTGATTGTTTGTTTTTCAAACATTTGTGTAAGCTATTAAGTTTAGAGACTTAAGTGAGTTAACCGAAGGCTTTTGTTGCATTTCCTCAGCTGTGTCAAATTTCAAGGACAAATCTCATTTTGCGGCATAAGGATTTTAGGGTAAATAGAAGTTATGTGCGTACAACAGTTCACCTGGGAGGAATATTCTCCTCAGTAATGATATAGGGGGCTAACTTGCACATTCTTCCTTTTAGCACTGATTTATGTTAACACTAATCTTAGTAAAAAAAACAAAAACGAGGAGTACTTGTGGCACCTTAGAGACTAACACATTTATTTGGGCATAAGCTTTTGTGGGTTAAAACCCCACTTCATCGGATGCAAGTGGGTTTTAGCCCATGAAAGGTTATGCCAAAATAAATGTGTTAGTCTCTAAAGTGCCACAAGTACTCCTCGTTTGTTTTTGGTTTTTTTGCTGATACAGACTAACAAGGCTACCACTCTGAAACCTGTCACTAATCTTAGTATAATTTTAAAATGTTGACCCTAACTTCTTTTATAGGTTTATGGAACTCCATCTTCCACTCAACCTCAGCCCCTTCACTGTTGATCTCCAATTGTTTTTCACCGCTCTTTCTCTCTCTGCCCTCTCTCTCTTTCTGCCATTTGTTCTTCCCCATCACATTTCTAGGGGGCAGGGTTTGTTTGGCAAAGGTCAGTGTAAAACATTGAACAGACTCTATTCAGGGGTCTCATTAAGATCAGGTCTTTTTCTTTCTACAGGTAAAAACCAAATAATTAACTACCTCTGTTAAAATGATTTTAAAAATATGAAGAACTCTAGAATGTTAGTCTTTTATATGGGTAGAACTTTGCAGTAAAGATGGTAGGCAAGAGAAGGGACTTGGATACCTAGTTCCCATTAGGGATTGCATGTCCAGATACCTATGGAACTTTGCATATCTGAGCTTAGAGGTTTTGGTACAATGTAGGTTGAGGAATTCTGTTTAAATGAAAAAAGGATCTAAAAGAATTCTAAAACATACAGTTTGTTAGCTTCTTTTCAAGGGCTAAAAAAAAAAGTGAATTGAGCATAGTCTCTGTTACCAATAAAAAGTGATCTACGTTACAAACTGTAAGTTAGCAGAATTTGGCATGATTGGCAGGCTGAAATGAAGATAATGTATATGCTACCAAAGACTCTGCATGCTGAGGCTGAAATAATTGTCACTAGGGGTCAAGTTTGAGGCCATTGACATGGCAGTGTCAACATGCTTGCATCACAGATGTACAATAATAAAGTACTTAGAGTTTATAATAGTTTCCAGATGCTTCCAGTATCATAAGATTCAGAATGATCAGTATTCACCCATATTAGCTTATAAAAATAAAGCTGTTTCCAAAATTTTGTTAAGAATATTTTTCTTCCTATAGTTTTAAGTTATTGTTTCAGTTGGATTTGTTTCTCTGGTTTCTTTTTGGGGTGGTTCTATTATTTTGTATAATTGTTTATTAAAAAATGAATGATTCAGAGACTGTATGTGGAAGCAGAAAAAGTATTTTTGATAGGATCTGCAGAACTTTTTTTCTCCCAATAGCTGTGATGGAAATTTTACTTCTCTGTACTTTTATATTCTTTTTACAGATAATTAAAGCAAATGTACTTATCTCAAAGTGATATTGTGAGTCTTAATTTGTTTGTAACATACTGCTAGATCCTCAAATGAAAGATGCTAGCTATAAAAGAGCTTGATCCTGCTTCCATTGTCTTTGTGGTACAGTATTGGGTCCCAAAGGACGACTTATGTTACTCAGTGACTGATTAGAGATATGCAGTTATGAATGGGCAGATCTACATATAGGGCCCAATCCTGCAAACACTTCCAAGTGTTGTACTTGGTGCTATGAGTCTAACTTAGGGTAGCAAATGCTATGGGCCCAATTCTGTGTTGCCCCTCACTTTGTGTAGTCATTACATCAGTGCAAAACACTATCTAGTCAGAATGGCTATAAATGGGTATGAAACACTATCTAGTCAGAATGGCTGCATTTTACACTCACTTTTCACTGATTGTAAATAGTTACATAAGGTGCAAATAATTTACTGAGAGAAAAGCATTAAAGACCAAGATGAACTTCTAATATACATATTTGGTTTTGTTTCCAGGATTGGCAATGTGCACAGTCCAAAGGATGCTTCTTCTTAGAGGAAGATGGTGAAATCATTACTCATAAATATAGGTTCTACTTACCTCAAAGGTCAACAGTATATATCACCATTAAACCTTTAAACCTTAGCCAGTTAGAAGGTAAGCATATTTATATTTTGTTTGGAGAATCACCAGGGAGGTCTGAGAAACTGACATGTCCTGCAGAATACCCTATGGAACTGGAATTGCTCTGAGACAAGGTGGATGAGGTAATATCTTTTAGTGGACCAGCTTAAAGCTTGTCTCTCTCACCAACAGAAATTGGTCCAATAAAAGATATTACCTCACCCACCTTGTCTCTCTAATATCCTGGGACGAACACAGCTACAACAACACTGCGTAAAGGGCCAGATCTCCCTACAAAAGATCTAGTATCTCCAGTAATGCAGTAGTGGACACCCGTGGTTGATGGTCATGGTCTAGCCTCGGATTTACAGTAATGTTATTACCTTTTTACCTGGCATCATGGAAAAATGTGGGTGGCATCTGGTCATGGGTGAGTTGAGTCCTCCACTGTCCCTCTGTCAAGTTATGAAGTTAGGACTTCTGCCCCTGAGTTTATAGTCTCCTGTTTAATCAATAAGGATATGATCTGAAGTCACTGGGTAGGCACCTGTTTCTTCAGTGTGCTTTGGATCAGGCCCTAAATTTGTAGCTTTTTCTGATCTGTCCCTGTTGCCTGTGTCTTTTTCATACACTGAATAAGGAAAGGTTTGTGTGTGTTTATATATATCACCCATATATATCTATAGCTAATGTGGGTGATCAATTTGAGGCATCTTAAAGTAACCTAATTTTCAGAAAGTGCTGAACACCCATCCTCTGAAAATCAGGCTCCTTTAAAGTGTCTCAATTTGGGCACCCAAAATCACTAGTTACTTCTGAGTTTCCCACCAGTTGTAAGCAAGCACATTTATTTACCTAGGGTGTTAATAACGCATTAAGAATATTAAAAACACATGAGATGAACACCATCAACTTGAAGTCTCATCAATTTCAAAATATGAGTTTATGGTAGCTTCAATTACTGCATCTATCCCCTCCCAATTTCTTGTGCTTTTACAACCACACTTTTCTGTTTACATTTTTTCTCTCCCCTCTGTTGTTGTATGAAGAGCTCCAATATAAACTGACTATCATGAAACTGATTATGTGCTGACAGATGCACAAAATAAACAGGAAAAAAATAGAGAAAAATATTTTTCTCTGATCTCTTTCAGTAATAGCTGTCTTAGATGTTACTTGTAACAATAGTTGGCTAAAACTTTTCAGACAGGTGTGACCTTTGTGTTGACCATGTCCCTTTAAAATACAGTTTGCTTGTCACTGTTTATGCTCTTTGTTTACTGTGTGCATTTTTCTTTGCTTAGTCAGTGAACATCACTGAAGTTAGGTATACTTCTGTTCATAGTCACCTTCACTCTTAGGTTCTTAGTATTGCAGTGTTGCTGTCCCAGATACTTGAGCAGTGTGTTTATTTGCTTAAAATTTGCTTTCAGTGGAATTTAAAAGAATTCTGTAGACCTCAGATTTGATAAAAGCTTGTTATTTTAAAATTTAACTATTAGCAACAAATTTGATAATGTCCCTTTAATTGTTTTTTATTTTATTTTGCATGTTTTCTGGGAAACAAAGATACAAAACTCAGTTAGTGCTTCTTGTTTGTGCATAGTGTCTTGTACTCCTAAATGACTGTGGTAAGAGCTAAAATGTATGATAGCATTTTATGATATTAAGGGTCTCTTCATGTTTCTATTGTAAACCTTGTCTGAAGGGTTTGTAGCTTGTCCATTTAAATTTTCATCTGTCTGAAGGTAAGGGCCAGAACTGGGCAAAGCTGGAATATTTGACCCCTCTACAAGCACTCTGCACTCTATTCCTCCTACTAGCTCACCCAGCAGTGCATACAGTCCCCTGGCTTGGACATTTTTCTCCAAAAAGCTGTCACTTTTTCCTGCTCTGTCATTTGTAACGGATGCTATTGCGTCCCAAACATGCCTGAGAAACTTCTGTAGTGGCGGCTGCTATGCTGCAAATGATTCTGAGACATAGCTGAGAATCAAAAGCTTCTATTGCATCTGACAGAGAAAAAGGAGGTGGTGTATTGACTACATTTGAAGCAGGAATATGTCTAGTAGCACAGCAATTCCTTTTTTATGAGAACTTCAAAAAAATCTTTTGAGGTTTTAACAAAGGAGAGGGCAGTGCTTGTGGTATGTAGCAACAACCTAACATTAACTCACAGAATTGCTAGGTGGGAGGGAAACTAAAGCCTGCACTGTGGTTTTGCTTTTGTTGTTAATTTGAAGACCACTAAGTAGCTAATTTGTTTGAGTGCACCAGGGCTTGAGAAATTGCACAAAATCAGATGGAATAAAATGGAATTATGCATAGTAGCATATGTAGGATCAGACCTCCATTCAAACTGGACCCAGTACAAATCAAATAGAAGTTTTGACTGTGTGCGTGTCAGGTGCTTGCAAGGTAAATCTCAACAATTATTGTGTCATATCCTTCAGAGACTTCTGCATCCCCAGAATGGTAACTCCAGGTATGTGATCCATTGTACAGTAGCTGAGTATATGTTGCAATTGTGAGTTATTTGAGGACAATCATGCTGATTTGGCATTCCACTACACAGGGATCTTCACTGACAGTGTATAGTATGAATACACATTGTGCTGTTTATTAAGATATTTTCTGCTCTATTAAATAAACAAAAGCTAGATTTCTAATCAAGGTAAATTGTAACAACATTTACAGATCCTCAGAAGATGGACTCTCAATTGCTGACATAACTTTAATTGCAAATGCTAGGAATGTCTTGTTCAATAACAAAAGTAATAAACTGTGTTATTATTTATTGGTAGAAAGGAAATAGTGTAACTTCTATAGCTACCAAAACACTTGGCGTTTGAGAGCTTTTAACAGTAATCACTATGTGTCAAAAACTAAGCGCAAATTCTCTACTCTGATATACCCTGGGGATCTCAAAAGCATATTATAAACTCATTCTGTGTGCAGCTCTTCCATTGAGGTCAACAGGAGTTCTGCATGTGAAAGGAACACAGAATATATAATAGAAAGGTCCACAGTGTAGAACAGAAGTAACAATTATGCCCAAAATTTATGCAGTTATCAAATATTTGGCTTTTTTGGGAAGGAGAGGGGTGTTAGGTTTTGGGGGCAGGACACGGGGAGGTTGGCTGGTTGGCTAAGGGTTTTTTGTTTTGTAGGAAAAACTTCTCCATGGTTATCAGTGGACACGGCTTTGTATATTCTCAAGGAAAATGAAAGCCAAGAAAACCTACAGCTCATGAGCTTTACTGAAGAACGAAATAAAGAGGTCAGACATTTTCCTTACTTTTCTCATGTTGATTTAAAAAAAAATTTATGTATGTGTCAACACAGCACAGTTTGGGGCTGCACAGGTTTGGGAGGGCAACATGCTGGGGTGTGAGAAGGCAGAAATGAGGAGCAACTGCTCTGTGCATCTTCCTGTGCAAAACTGTCAGGACTGTTGCCACAGAAGTCAGCAGAAGCTAATGTTACTCCTAGCAATATTACCTTCAAACCCCAACACCTGAATTGCAGGGAATTGCAGTGCACAGGTAAAGAAGAGTTGAGGTTTCTCCTGGAAGAGCAGTGTTCCCATGGGGTAGGCCAGGGAGAAATGTTGAGTTGCTGGTTTTCTGTACAGATGTTCCAAGATTCAAGGGATTTGCCTGGGGAAGCTCAGTTTCACCCTCAAAAGCCACCTTCCCTCTGTCTGCAAGAGGTCAAAATGCCACAAGGTCAGCTCAAGGACTTTACCTTCACTCCTCTTTCCCTCTGCCATGGGTATGAGTCCAGCCATAGTTATGCACTGGTACATGCTCTTCTCCTGTGGTAAAACCAACAGAGGGAGAAATGATAGTGTGAAATCATCTCCTCAGCTATCAAGCCATAGGGAAATGAGTTTGGGGCAGGGTTGTGCTAGGGGGTGTACAGTAACAGGCATATACCAACCAACACTCTCTGGCCTGGAGAATTTACGATCTAATAAAGAAGAGAGAACCATTATGTCCACTTTACAAATGGGGAGCTGAGCCAGAGAAAGACTAAGTGACTTGGACAAGGTCACACTGGGAGACTTTAGCAGAACTAGGAATTGAACCTAGGTCTCCTGAATCCCAGCCCTGATTCTTAATCACGTGACAAGCCTGTCTCTTGCACCCCTTGTCGCTTGTGAACTTTTACAAGGAACCATGCAAAACTTGTGTTGCAAATTTGATGCAGGTTGATGAATCAGGGCCAGATTGTGAGCCAGTCTGCAGCTGATTTACGCTCTCAGGGGGAAACAGTGAGAAAGTCGGTGGGGTTTTGTCAACCTGCCTCCACTGGCAGGAAAAGTGTTTTGTTTTGTTTTTGTTTTATTTTCAAGCTTAAAATTTTAAATGGGTTAAAAATCTGTGGGGCAGCAGAAATGTTGAACAGTTCCAGTCAGGCTGCTTGTAGGCCTAAACATCTGTGTAAATATTACTACAATTAGCAGATCCACCAGTTCTCATGTCTATATATTGGCATGAAATGCATCTTGTTGGGATTTGCCATCTCTAAGGAAAGAAAATATAGGGGCTCTAACAGTGAGTACCTTCTGTTAATTGATCATTATTGTGGGAATATTAATAATGAAGGCAGTCTTTGGATAAACAATGGCTCACAGATTTCTCCATTTTCCATTGAGAATAGATGTTTAGGTGGAAAGGTGAACTGGGATCTGGTATTTACTGGCTAATTCCATTCACAACTGGCTGTAGGCTCAAGAAGATAAAAAAGCAAATTACTGGAGAAGCCAAACTGGTTTATAGAGATGAAGATGGAGAGCTGGCCCTTACCAAAGAGTTCAAGTGAGTCATGTTTGCAAGGAGGCATGCTAGCTGTCATAAAAGTATATATTCTCAGTATCCTTTATGCTGCTGAATTCATTTCTGTCTGGATGCCATTGCTTTGGAAAAGCATTTTTCAACATATTAGATCATTCACTGCAATGGTGTGGGGAAGGAAGCTGAAGCATTTCAAAACTGTCTTGTCTTCTCCGTCTTTTAGAGCAGCTTTATCCGACATATTTGAAATGATTGATTTAGATGGAAATGGCCTTCTGAGCCTGGAAGAATACAATTTCTTTGAACTGAGGACAAGTGGTGAGAAATGTGATGAGGAAGCCTGGGACGTATGCAAGGGTAAGCTTGTTACTCTGCTTAATTAAACTGACCAAGAATGTTGAACTTTTGGTGAGAAGTTACCTACATTCATATACAACATTATTCTTAATATAGATTCATGCATAGATATATATATGTACACTAATTACTGGGAAGCCCAAAGCAAGATAGTGTGATAAGACACTGTTCCCTTTCCCCATTGTTTTCTATCCACCACCACCTGTCTTCTCTCCGTGTTTTCCTTTCCTCCAGTCTCCTATCACTTTATTCTTCTTCTGTCCTGTTTGCTTGTAGTAATCGTGTTTAATAGTCCATCTATAGAAAAATGCTTCTCATGGCTATTTGTGCATTTCAAGTTTTGTGCGTGAGGGACATGTTCTGAGTAGAGAACTGAGTGCCAAGAACTATAAAGTTCTAATTGTGGATCTTATACTAAATCCACCTGCTGCTGTTACTCTCTGTCACAGTTTACTTGACTGTAAAATAGAGATGGTAATCCCTTCCTACCTCACAGGGTTTTGTAAGGGTCAGTTAATCAATGGTGTGTGAAAAACAGGACATTTAGTGCATATTATTATTGTTTCCACTAAAAAATATCAATTGGAGCAATGCTTCTCAGATGTAGGTATTTTCCACTGGAAATCAATCTTTTAAAACTTCATAAACAGTACATAAAATTGTCCATATTGTCCTTCTCACAGCTGTAAACATGCTTTCTGAGACTTCTGTGCCTGGTGTTAAAAACCTGCCAGATTTTTAGGACTCTAACAACCATATATTGCCCTTGATCTGTAGGCACAGTTCTAATTAATGTCAGTGAGAGTCCTGCACCTTCTGAGGGCAGTATTTGGCCTTAAACATCAATTGGGGGGGGGCACCCACATTTTTGTGGCATTGTTTAACACTCAAAATCAGTTATATTTCAAAGCCCTGATGACATACAGCTCTGCCACACAGGGATAAATTCATTAATGATTTTGTGATGCTCAGACACTACAGTGATGGGGCAGCATAAGTGACTAGATAGAAAGAGAGGTCAGAGTTAGTTGACAGTGGTGATTTGGCTACAACCCCCTCTTAACCTATGACACACTGCTTAATTCTGGCCACCACATTTTAAATTTTGCAGGTCCTATTGAATATTTCTATCTAACAGCCCCACAGTGTGTCTGGAACTTTTTCTGAATGATAGAGAGGTCATTCAAATACTGTTCTCCTGTAAATCAGTTTTTCTCCTCCTGTTTCTTTCCCCTAGATTCTGCACCACCTTTTATACCTTTATTTATATTTGTGTGTGTCTATGAGCGAGGAAGTGTCAGTGAACATGGTGGATGGATTACCAGACATTAATCAGTCGAAGGATTCAGATGAATATCATAAATCTTGAGAGCAAAGTTCAAGCAGTTTGTAATAGCATCTCAACCCTGAGATAGATTTATTAAATTGGTAATCCCTTTTTAATAATATACAGTCAAGATTTAACATTGTTATGATGAGAGAACCATTTTTAAAATTCTCTGACATAGGAACATTTCAATTATATGTTTGCTGACACTAGAGAAGTTGATCTGCCATGTTCTATCAAGAGTGCTCCCAAAGCACTACAGCTCCACTGGACTTTCATTTCCTGTTCCCAGTACTCTCTTTTCGTAAAATCTTACTCCACTGCAGATATTGCCATGGGGGGAAATATCATACAAGCCAGACTCTACATTTTGAGACCACCCCCTCTCTTGGGCCAATGAGTCTGCGGCCTCGGTCATTCCCTAAAATCCTAGGGGAAGCCCTGTAAACAACACACATTTCACTCAAGGGAATCTTTTACCATTTCAGCATCTTATCATGAAATTTGGAGAAGTAGAGGCTGCAAGACTAATGGCCAAATCTTGCAGCCCTCACTTAAGTCAATGGGAGCTTTGCCTAAGGAAGGCCAGGTTGCAGACTGCTTGATTGTATGCCTGAGGAAGAAGTAATTTAAGAGCTACCTTGTTTCCTTTTATACAGAGAATTTTGACACAAAGAAGAATGAGCTAACAAGACAGGGATTTATGGACTTGAATCTCATGGAGGCCAATGACTGTGAAGGGGATCCTAGTGACCTCTGGGTCACTTTACTGTCACTGGGCTACAATAAAGCACTGGAAATGACAGCGGTATGATTGTTGTGTATCAAAAATACACAACTTCCCATATAACTTGTTGCATGTTTAACAGCAACACTGCTTCTGTCCTTCATAAATTGATTTCAGTGGGCCAGCAATTCAGCTCAAAAGGTTTCCACTGTGCATTTCAGGTCTGGCAGTCTATTCCCTGGGCTAGCACTGTTGAGGGGGACAGCGGAGGACGCAGAGATCGGAGCTGCTGCAGTGACAACCCTCAGTGTTTAAAGAGAGAACTAGACTATCTTGCAGAGGCTGGATACCAGTATTTTACAGGGCCAGTTAGAGAAGGGGACTAGGGACCAGGGCCGGCTCCAAGCACCAGCGTTCCAAGCAGATGCTTGGGGTGGCAGTTAGAAAGGGGCGGCAGTGTTTCCATGTTGGTGGCAATTCAGCAGCAGCTCCTGTGTTCTGCCAGCCATGACGGCAAATCAGCAGCAGTTTCTCCCTTTTGCCGGCCGCGGCGGCAGTTTTTTCACTGCTTCGGGCAGCAAAAACTGTAGAGCCGGCCCTGCTAGGGACATACCTGCTGGAGGGCTTGGTGTGACCTGCTGGGGAGAAGGAGTTCAGTTCTCGGTGAGGTGGTGGGTGGGAAGATAGAGGCAGAAAATTGTGGCCTGTCAACGCACCGAAAGGTGCAGGGCTCTCGCTGTCCAAGCTCTGAATCTGGTTTCCAACATGGCCTGGCTAACTAGGAAAGAATCCCACCCCTAGTCCAAACCACAAGGGAAGCCAAAAAGCATCTGTGTGTTGCTGTGGAAAGCATCCCTTAAAAACAAATAAATGGCTGCCACTTGTATTCATTCCAAAATTAGCCATGAAGGTGTCAGGTGCAGAATGAGGAGGGTGTCAGGTGCAGAATGAGAACAAGGATGGAAGCAGGGGATGTGGGAGGGTGTTTGCACTGAGCAGGACAAGGAGAATCTACCCACAGGTGAAAACAATAACAAATACACCTTTCAGGTAATGTGTTTTTACATGGACTCAGAGGTCAAACTCTTCAGACAGGATTAACTAGCTATTTTAGGGTTTTTACTGCTGCCTCTCACCATAGTGTCATAGCAAAGTAATCTGTGTCTATTGTAGGATCAGGAATTCTCTTCCCCATGCACCCATGTGCCAAAGTGGCATTGAGGTTGGTTTTAAAGGCCCACTCTTTCTTACCACTGTGTCAACAGAAGATGTTTTCAAAGGGTAACTCTAACAAAGGATTGGGGAAGAAAAGCAAAGCTAGAAAGACACAAAAAATCCTCCATCAAATATTCAGGAAAGTCCAGTATTTATATCTTGTTCCCAAGAAAAGCTGTTTTTTTACCACCCCGTGATCATTTCTTTTCTTTGTTTACTTTCTCTTAAACCAAAGCAACTCAGGGCCATGAGACTATGTAATTGCCAAAAAAACCCAATCCCATTCTGTGCACATGAAACAAAAATATACTAACACAAAAACACTGATGTGGTAGTGTTTTGGGATTTGGGAGGCTAGAATTAGCCATTCTCGTATCAATGAGAAGATTTAAAAAATTAGCAAATGATTGTGAGTAATTTCTCACTGGGTTACACTTCACCACTTGTCCTACAAAATATCCCTAACAAAGCTGGAAAGATGTGATGCTCTGTCTTTCTGCAGTTTGGACACTAGAGAGAGCTGTTCTCTAACAAAGAAGGTTCTCTGCCTTGCACAACTGTGGTTTGTGGTTAGAAGCTTTGTTTCCCAAAGCATAAGTACAAACTATATATTGTGTGCTTGAACCGTTTGCTTCAATAGCACATATAATTTAACCCCTCGGTTCCTGAATGACCCTTTCAGCAGCACTTTCAACAGTAACTACAGTAGAGTTACAAACACCAGAGTTACGAACTGATGAGTCAACCACACACCTCCTCTGGAACCGGAAGAACACAAACAGGCAGCAGCAGAGACCAAAAGAAAAAGCAAAGTACAGTACTGTGTTAAATGTAAACTGCTAAAAAAATAAAGGGAAAGCGGCATTTTTCTTCTGCCTAGTAAAGTTTCAAAGCTGTATTAAGTCAATGTTCAGCTGTAAACTTTTGAAAGAACAACCGTAACGTTTGGGTTCAGAGTTACAAACATTTCAGAGTTGAGAACAATTCCTGAGGTGTTCGTAACTCTGAGGTTCTACTGTATAAAGTAAAAATGGCAGTAAAAATGTGTTGGTGCTAACAGGCAGCAGATCCTGATGGTCATTTGAAAAGCAGATGTACTCTTACTGTACTCCTACTAAAAGTAACAGAAAATCTCATCTCCTTGTTGGCACGCATACTAATCCTAACCAACAAAATGGAAGTGCAAGGAGTGTTTCCTGTCACAAAATTTCAACTATTTTAAATCTGCATGCAAAAAACACTCATTTGAATGGCAAGAGTTTGCCAAAATACTGAAGAGGAAAGGGTTCTTTCTGGTGCTCAAATACCCTAGTACTTCATCTTCGGTGCCTGATGCATGTTGTGATCTGAGAAGATGAATGGTACAGTATATTTGACTGCATCAAGGCTTGCACGATCAGTGATGGCTGTGTGCTGTGTTGATTTATCCTAATCTCTGAATTACCAAGAAAGGTTACAAAGAACAGGAGATCTAGAGTTTTCTAAATCTATTTTTTTATGCCCAATGGTGCACATATATTTGGATAATTCTGCAGCAGAGCATCTGTGAAAACAGAGCTGGGGATAAAAATCCGAGGAAAAATTTCAGCATAAAGTAACAAGAACTAAACAATATGCTGTATTTTTCTTCTATAACAGGCATTACTGTATTTTTCTTCTATAACAGGCATGCCCTTTTGTCATTAACATCTGTGCAGAAAAGTGCAAACCCAGAATTAAAGCCATTTATCTGGAAGCAGGCAGCAGGCAACTTAACAGGGCAATTTGCAAGTCTGTTGTTAACAAAGGAGATGCCAAAGTACTGGATAGCGGTGAAAGTATAATTGTCTATACCTGCAAAAGTGATACACGGATCACTTCTGTTATTGAAAATAAGGTATTGTGTGATATTTCTCTTATGCACATTACACAAAATAATTTACATGCTAATGTACATCATTGTTGTTACTCCCTTCTCATTAAGCTTTCTATAGTAACATTTTTTGATCTATAGATTCTGTACCTACTTAATAAAAAAAAGCCCCTTTTTTAAGGGATTGATCCAAAGTCCATTGAAAACAATGGGAGTTTGTCCATCTACTCCAATGGACATTGGATCGGGCCTAAAGAAAACATTCATTTACTAAAGTAATTTTCCCTCTGCTGATACTCACACCTTCTTTTAGAGTAACAGCCGTGTTAGTCTGTATTTGCAAAAAGAAAAGGAATACTTGTGGCACCTTAGAGACTAACCAATTTATTTGAGCATAAGCTTTCGTGAGCTACAGCTCACTTCATCGGCTGCACACCTTCTTGTCGGCAGTTTGAAATGGGCCGCACTGATTGCATTGGCCTCGGTAGCACGACAGAAGTTATTTTCCCTCCCTTGGTATTCACCCCTTCTTGTCAGCTGTTGAGAATAGGCCACTTCCACCTTAATTGAATTGGCTCGTTAGCACTGACCCCCCACTTGGTAAGGCAACTCCCATCTTTTCATGTGCTATGATATATATTCTGCTTACTGTATTTTTCACTCCATGCATCTGATGAAGTGGATTTTAGCCCACGAAAACTTATGCCCAAATAAATTTGTTAGTCTCTAAGGTGCCACAAGGACTCCTCGTTATTCATTTACTAAGAAGATTTAGGGTATTTGCATACTGTTTCGTCAGCTGAATTCCTATCTGTATTTACAAAGGCATTGCAATTTTGTAGTGTAAAAGATTAGCAACATTATGTCTTCATGATTAGAACTGATCAGGAATTTTTCAATAAAGAGTTTTTGTCACTGGAAAATGCTGATCAGTTCAAAGCAAAACTGTTCCCAGAAAAGGATCAGTTTCTACAAATTTTGCATTTAGAAAAAATGTTGTATCCTAAGAGTAAACAGTGATATGCACAGATTTTGGTTTTAGGGCCTTATTATGGATGAAGCATTAAACTATTAGCTTTAAAGGTATCTTTTTTCTGTATCCTCCAGCCAGAGTCGGATTAGGGGTTTGGGGGGGTCCTGGGCCAGAGCAAGTGGGAGCCCCACCCCACCCCACCCCTTTCGCCTGCAGTCCCTCCTGCACACACACCCCTGGTGCTCCTGCCGGGAAGCTGGGGTCAGGACTTGGGGACTTCCCCCGCCCACCCGGGACTCCTGCCAGGGAGCAGGGTCAGGGCACGGGGCTTGCCCTACTCCACCCATCTGGCACTCCTGCCTGAGAACAGGATTGGGGCGCAGGGACTTCCCCCGCCCACCTGGCACTCCAGCTGGGGAGCGGGGGCTTCCCCCACTCTCTGGTAGGAGTGCCGGGCAGGCGGCACGGGTCAGGGCATGGGGCCACCCCAATTGGCCAGGGCCCATGACAAGTATAATGGAAATAATGTTTTTAATTATATGCTAGTATAATTAATATGCTAGTAAGTAAGGGATCGATTCTGTCTGGCCCTTCCCAGCAGTGATAGGTGGAGTAAAAGGCCTATCTCCCATCTTTCTGTGGTCTGTGTCAGAGCTTGGCAGATTTTCTGTCCCTGCACACACAGCCACAAAGGGCATAGAGAGTTGGTGGAGCCATGGTTGTTGCCTGCCCATTTATGCCTTAAAATCAACTCTGTTATGAGGTCATAGCCTGAAATTTGAAATAAAAATTTACTAAATATTCTCTGCACCTGTTTCCATGTCCACATGTTATTCGCACATAGTACAGAATACTTTCTCTATGAACCATCTTCATCTCGCTTCCCATGTAGAAATGTAGACACCTCCCAAAGAAAAGATCAGGACATAATAATAATAGTAATAATGAAAAGATAAACACAGAGTGCTGTTTCTGTTTTTACAGCCTCAGGATATTTCAAACATAATTATATTTGCATTCTAATCTACATAGACCTTTTGTAGTGTGAGAATCACAGACAGCACTTCTGCCAATCCTTATCTTTATAGAGTCATAGGTAGCCTTTAAGTAGGAGGAGGAGGCTGCTGTCTGATATAATCGTATTCCTATTCCCTTTCACAATAAGGAGCAGTAATTGTTTGTTAGCATTCTTCTAAGAATCTCTAGCATTTCTCAATGCCCACGTTAAATCCAAATTTATCTAAACATGAGTGAATGACAATACACACTAGCATGTCTTTAATTTAAGTCTTGATTTCCAGTTTGAAATAGTTACTTTGATTGTTTTTCTGAGAGCATGTAACATGTTAGATCAGCAATATGGGTCCAGTCTGGGCTATTTTGTATAGCAATAAGTAGCATGTTGAATATACCAGCTCTGCACTGGGCCAGTTGATGATTAGGCCCAACCCATAGGGGCTTTGTAATTTGATTGCTATCCACAGAAAAACTTAAAGTTTCTTCTTATCCATAAGCTTTCCTATGTAGATTTTGACCATCTCTACTCCCCACTGGGACGCAGAGGTTACAGAGGAGGGCAGGAGAGAGAGTTGGAGATGAGGTCTTACAAGTTATGGGTTACCTCTCCCCATTCTCAGGGTGGAGTGGGGAGAGATCTTCAGCCTAGTTGACTAACAACTCCATTCCAGAGTCATTCACTGGAAGTCGGGAGCAGCATGGCCTGTTCAGTCAGACCCAACCGCACTGTTGCTCCAGTGTCCAAAAGTCACTGTGTCCCTGACACGGTGCCTTGACTGTCAGAGGTGGCATTTGGGGTCGTAATCCTCCCCCTGTGGAGTTGGACAGTCACTTAGCCTCTACCCAGAAGTGGGGGCCTGCTCTCCCAGGGTTTGCAAACATTCCTGTCTTTGGAGCTAAGTGGCACCACAGAGCTCCTTGAGGTTCTGTGCGGTGTTTGGGCCATAGCATCCATTTATTAAAAACCAGTTGGACTGACTGTCTCCTGTTTTATTATTGGGTCGTATTTCATTCTCAGAAGTGTGTGCACAGCTTCAGTGAGTGCCATGGACACACACATCAAAGGGCAGGATTTAGCTCATTGTTTAAACTGTTTTATTTACATTAATTTTGTTGAATATTTAAGAATTATTTCATATGAAGGCAAGTTGTATTTTGGAAGAGATTGTTTGTAATGAATCCATGATCTGCAGATAATGAACATAATTACCACAAATCTGTGTGTGTCTGTCTGTCTGTCTGTCTCTCTCTCACACACACACACACACTCCAACTCTCTCTCTGTCTTTGACTTGTATCTTGCTCCTTCAACTCCCAAATCAGTCCTCTACTGCTTGAGCTAGAGATCTCCTGTAGTACATCCAATATCTTGGATATAGGGCTGGCACCAAAGCATAGCATTGTTTACTCATGTATGCCAAACAAGTACATTGTGCACCAAATTCTCTGGTGTGAATTGGTAGAGCTTCAATGAAGTTAGGGCCTGTGCCAGTTTACACTAGCAGAGAATCCAGCACTGTGGGTAAAATTTTCAAAAGCAATTGTGTCGCATAGGAGCTCAGATCCCATTGACTTTTAATCAGACTTGAGGTCCTAAGTGACACAGGCACTTTTGAAAAAGGACTTAGGTCCCAGGTTACTTAGGTGCATTTTAAAATTTTGCCCTACATATTTAAAACTTTCCATCCCATTATAATAGCAATTTCAGATGAAATAACCAGCATCATTAAGTTGTTTTATAAGAAGCAGCCATTTAATCATGAAGACTAATGAGACCTCTAACATTTTTCCACTTACAGTCTGAAAACAAAGTGGTTATTCATGTCAACAATGAGCAGAGTAAGAACTGTGTAAATAACAGGGGACTCAACATTTTTGCTGTTGAAGTGGCACCAAAATCCATGATGGTAATGTTATTATTTCCCTAATTTAAAATCCTAGTAAAAATATCATATGTGACACTTTTAGAGTTTGTTTTTGCAAATCTTTCTGTATTAATACTGAGTATGTGGACATGAAGCAAAAGGAGAAATGTCCATCTACATGAGAAATGATGATGGGCCTGATTTGCAAAATTGTGCACCTACCTTGCATGTGCAGGTATTTTCGAGTGCAGATGACCAGATAAATGTATAACTAGCCAGTTTTTGCATGCAAATGTCTGATTCACTTGCCCTTTCACTGTAATTGTACATACTAATTATGAATACCTTTCAGCATTCACTCCTATTTAAAAAGCAAGCCCCTATGTCAATAAAAGAGAGTTGTCATAGCAGATTGGTCACCAATTAATAAATATTGTAAATGCTAATGAAAATCTAACACACTTATTTTCAAAGCAGGAGATGTTTTGCCTGTATGAACCGTCAATTATAATGACTATACTTCTTAAATGATTAGTGTAAATTAAATTATGTTTTATTATGTGTGTTGTTGCAGTAGAGTGATGTATGTTCGTTATACTATTGTTAAAGAGAGACAGTTAACCTAACATCCATATGCTGCAAATGAATAATGTTGTTTATATTATTAGTGACACCTTAGATTATTCAAAATGAAAAACTTAAAAATCCCATTTACTGTAACTAGGCAGTTTCACTTTCAGATTTACTTCTAACACCTGCAGTGGCATGTTTATTTGTTTGCAGTGGCATTATCATCTTAGGTTTCTTTTTAAAAGAAGCAGCTCTTAACTTAAAGTTGGCCCAAAATTAAAATGTTTTCTCTTCATCTGATGCATTCCATGATCATGAAGCACAGACTTAATGTGTGCTTTAACTAGTCCCACACAAAAATACGTGTATATGATGTATGTTATGAACAATATAATTTCCAACAGGCAGACTTTTTAAAAAAAATGTAATTTATGGACAGTGCTTAAGCCAATTGGCAATTTGATTGGCTGACTCCCATTCTAGAAGTTGTACTGTTTTTAGTAAAAGTTGAAATAAATATACAAGTTAAAATAACCTACTCTATGTAGTGCAAAAAGTGCAGTGTCTCTCTTTCAAATGCAGCTCATTCAAACGATATTACTCTGTATTTCGTCATTATCCAACCTATGGCCCCAATCCTGGCATGTGCAGGATTGGGGTTATTCTAACACTGCTGCTGCTACCTTTGATCAGATAGAGGAGGCTCCATGCTGCAAGGTGTTTTATTACCTTAATTTTCCACTGGAATCCATGAGAATTGTAGGCTTAGAGCCCCTTGAAGGATTTTACCCATAGTGTAGTTAAATGCAGTAATAATACCTATCATTACACAACTTCAGTTTTGCATCAGCTAACTTTTCCAATATGGGTATTAGAAATGAAATGATTAATGTTTTCTAGATGGCATTTTAAGTAGTAAATGTTCAGTTGGGTAGGAATTAAGGAAAGAATGGTAACTAAAGATAGTTCATTATATTGTCCCTCTTTTTACATGCAGGTTTGTCAGCATGTGATGCCTTTGAAAGAGCAAGAAGAATGGATATATAATTGTGTGCATTCTCTCGTACCTTAAACACCACGTTTAGAAAAAAGTCCACTCTTGGAACTACTAAAACAAGAACTAAATCAGGATTGTCCTGTGATCAATAGATAAATTGATTAATCTTGTCCACTTCAGAACCAAGACTGATACAGATCATTTATTTCAGATCTATGCTTTGCTCCCATGATTTCAGCTATTCAAGCCAATGAATCACAAGGCCTGACTTCAATCCTATCCAGTCCCTCAGATCTGACTGCCAGATATGGCTTTTTGTGACTGCAAAGCCTGCAGCCACAAGCCCCCGCACGCACTCTGCCAATTTGAGGGAATTTGAAATATATATGCTTTCCCTTGTTGGACGGGAAGACAGCCTTAAAAGCATAAATCAGGGTTGAAAGGAATAATCATCTGCAGAAAGAACACACACACTTTTTACATAAAATGAATCATTTATGTTTTGAATGTATCCCAAAGAACCAGCTTGCTACACCCTCTCTCACATCCTTAGCTGGTCCTGGGCATAATGGTAAACAGGAGTCATTGACATGTAGTGGAAGTGCAAGTTATGATTTCTCAGCTGTGCCTCACAAATGCCAAGGCTGGCTCAGCCAGCAGTCTTTCCTATAGCTTTCTGTGCAGTCCTACATATGCAACTGTCTCTCTATCCAACTGCTCTCTCCTTTTGGATATCCCACCACTATCCCAAACTCCTTGTGTCAAAAACTGAGCTTCTCTCTCTCCTCTTTGCCTCATTGGTACCATTGACACCTTCACTCCATCCATGTCATGCCACTTCTAATTTTGATGTCAGTTTTGACTCCTCTCCTTTATATCCAGGTTTTTCGCATACCCAATTTCTTCTTCCTCTATATCTCTAAAATCTGTCCCTTCCTGTCGCTGATACTGTGTTAAAAATCTGACCAATTATCTTTTACCCTAATTAATGTAACTTCCACCTCCAGGCTTCTCTCCTCTCTACTCTATCCAGAATCCTGCAACTAAAATCCTCCTCTCTCTTGAGCTAACACTCCGTTGAATCCCTTCACTGGCTTCCACACCTTCCACAGCTCAGACTCCCTGTACTCCACTTTCAGTGCTATGCTTCTCCACTCCTGCCTTTGTCTCTGCTCCGATTCCCAGCTGCACCCCTTCCACACACTCTGCTCAGTTCTTTCTTCTTCGAGCTTCATTTAGTCTCCTACTTCCCACATGGACGTCATGCCTTTTTTTCATGTTCCAGTCTGTGTACGCCTACACTACAAAGACTATACCAACAAAGCGGTGTAGCCGTAGCTATGCCAGTAGAGCCCTGTAGCGTAGATGCAGCTTACACTAACAGAAGGGATTTTTCTGTCCAAACTCCGCCTCCCCAAATGACGGTAGCTACATCAATGGAAGCACTCTTCTGTCAGCATAGCTGTGTCTACACTGAGGGTTAGGCCCTCTGACAGACTCTCTTTATTATGAAGAACATTTGCTTTCCTAACAGAACAAATGCGTAGTTATTCCTATGCAGTCTCTTTCTGAAAAATTACTAGTGTGCAGAGTGAGCCATACTGGAGGAATGTTGAAAGCTGTATAGAATTATGTAATCATGTGTATTCCTCTCTCACTTTCACCACTTCTACACTCTTGACTTTATTATGCAGCTGGCCAACATAGCTATGTTGAGCTACCTTTTAAGTGTAGGCCAGGCTGTATTTCATATAGCTTCCGCTTTTTTTGTGTGCCAGATGCCATCCCTTTGCTCTTTCTTATGCTGCCCTCTTCCCACCCACACCTGATCCTTAGCTGTGTGCGTTGCGTTTAATTGACATGATCAGAAACTTCTTGAGGCAGGTCCTTGTTTTCCGACATGGCTGTAAAACTGGCACCACAATCATCATAATGCGTATTTCCATTTTTGGTGCTGTACGCTTTGCAATTAAAATATGAAGCCTTTTTACATTTGTGACGTCGTTTCTCTACATTTGGTGTGTGTGTGTGTGTAAAGCAGATTCCGTGCTACAAATACCCACTTCATTGGATGCATACAGTGGAAAATACAGTAAGAAGATATATATACACAGAGAACATGAAAAAATGGGTGTTGCCATACACACTGTAAAGGGACCAATCAATTAAGGTGGGCTATTATCAGCAGGAGAAAAAAAACTTTTGTAGTGATAATCAGGATGGCCCATTTCAAACAGATGACAAGAAGGTGTGAGTAACAGTAGGGGGGAAATTAGCATGGGGAAATAGTTTTTACTTTGTGTAATGACCCATCCACTCCCAGTCTTTATTCAAGCCTAATTTAATTATGTCCAGTTTGCAAATTAATTCCAATTCTGCAGTTTCTTGTTGGAGTCTGTTTTTGAAGTTTTTTTGTTGGAGAATTGCGACTTTTAGGTCTGAAATTGAGTGACCAGGGAAGTTGAAGTGTTCTCCGAATGGTTTTTGAATGTTATAATTCTTGATGTCTATTTGTGTCCATTTATTCTTTTGCATAGAGATTGTCCAGTTTGGCCAATGTACATGGCAGAGGGGCATTGTTGGCACATGATGGCATATATCACATTGGTAGATGTGCAGGTAAACGAGCCTCTGATATTGTGGCTGATGTGATTAGGTCCTATGATGGTGTCCCTTGAATAGATATGTAGACAGAGTTGGCAACGGGCTTTGTTGCAAGGATAGGTTCCTGGGTTAGTGTTTTTGTTGTGTGGTGTGTGGTTGTTGGTGAGTATTTGCTTCAGGTTGGGGGGCTGTCTGTAGGAAAGGACTGGCCTGTCTCCCAAGATCTGTGAGAATGAGGGATCGTCCTTCAGGATAGGTTATAGATCCTTGATGATGTGCTGGAGAGGTTTTAGTTGGGGGCTGAAGGTGACAGCTAGTGGGCATTCTGTTACTTTCTTTGTTGGGCCTGTCCTGGAGTAAGTAACTTCTGGGTACTCTTGTGGCTCTGTCAATCTGTTTCTTCACTTCAGCAGGTGAGTATTGTAGTTGTAAAAACACTTGATAGAGATCTTGTAGGTGTTTGTCTCTGTCTGATGGGTTGGAGCAAATGTGGTTGTATCGTAGAGCTTGGCTGTAGACAATGGATCGTGTGATGTGATCTGAATGAAAGCTGGAGGCGTGTAGGTAAGTATAGTGGTCAGTAGGTTTCCGGTATAGGGTGGTGTTTATGTGGCCATCGCTTATTAGCATGGTAGTGTCCAGAAAGTGGATCTCTTGTGTGGACTAGTCCAGGCTGAGATTGATGGTGGGATGGAAATTGTTGAAATCATGGTGGAATTCCTCAAGGGCTTCTTTTCCATGGGTCCAGATGATAAAGATGTCAACAATGTAGCGTAAGTAGAGTAGGGGCGTTAGTGGACAAGCGCTGAGGAAGCCTTGTTTTAAGTCAGCCATAAAAATGTTGGCATACTGTGGGGCCATGTGGGTACCCATAGCAGTGCTGCTGATTTGAAGGTACACATTGTCCCCAAATGTGAAATAGTTATGGGTGAGGACAAAATCACAAAGTTCAGTCTCCAGGTTTGCCATGATATTATTGGGGATAGTGTTCCTGACGGCTTGTAGTCCATTTTTGTGTGGAATGTTGGTGTAGAGGGCTTCTACATCCATAGTGCCTAGGATGGTGTTTTCAGGAAGATCACCGATGGATTGTAGTTTCCTCAGGAAGTCAGTGGTGTCTCGAAGATAGCTAGGAGCGCTGGTAGCGTAGGGCCTGAGGAGGGACTCTACATAGCCAGACAATGCCTGAGATGATGGGGCGCCCAGGATTTCCAGGTTTATGGATCTTGGGTAGCAGATAGAGTACCCCTGGTCGGGGTTCTAGGGGTGTGTCTGTGCAGATTTGTTCCTGTGCTTTTTCAGGGAGTTTCTTGAGCAAATGCTGTAGTTTCTTTTGGTAACCCTCAGTGGGATCAGAGGGTAATGGCTTGTAGAAAGTGGTGTTGGAGAGCTGCCTGGCAGCCTCTCGTTCATATTCCGACCTATTCATGATGACGACAGCATCTCCTTTGTCAGCCTTTTTGATTATGATGTCAGAGTTGTTTCTGAGGCTGTGGATGGCATTGTGTTCTGCATGGCTGAGGTTACGGGGCAAGTGATGCTGCTCTTCCACAATTTCAGCCCGTGCACGTCAGCGGAAGCACTCTATGTAGAAGTCCAGTCTGTTGTTTCAACCTTCAGGAGGAGTCCACGCAGAATCCTTCTTTTTGTAGTGTTGGTAGGAAGGTTTCTGTGGGTCAGTGTGCTGTTCAGAGGTGTGTTGGAAATATTCCTTGTGTCAAAGACGTCAGAAGTAGGATTCCAGGTCACCGCAGAACTGTATCATGTTCGTGGGGGTGGAGGGGCAGAAGGAGACTATATCCCTTCTGGAACTTGAATCACATAGCTCAGCTACTGTAGGCCCTCAGGATCAGGCCAGACCCCCGAAGACATCCCAGTAGCTTAAAAACAGCCACTCCCAGAGATCCCTCCTTGTGGGCACTCTGATTTATAGTTTACCCCTTCGGGGATACATGGTACTTGAAGTAAATAGGCACCGATTCTGCATAGGGTTTCTAACATAATTACTCTTCCTTCAAACAGCATAAGAGATATACAGATCTAAGCAAAACAAACACCTATATGCCATTCCTTGCCTCAGTTTCCTCACCACTCTTGAGTGTTTTTCAGGATTTGGGTCAGTGTCCTTTCAGGGTTCCAGGTTCCCCTCATCATTAGTCCTCCAGGTCTGGCACCTCTTCCAAATCATGGAGTGTCTCTCTCTCTCTCTCTCTCTCTCTCTGGTTCCCTGCAATCAGTGACAGTGTCCTTCACCTCTGGCTGGCTGCAGTCAAAAAGGTTCCCTTACTCATGATACATGCCCCCCCTTTGTCACTCTCCCTTGAACTTCTCCACCTTTGCATTTTTTAACACCTGATTTCTTTGTTCCCCTTCTGGGGATTTTCCATTCCTCCAAATCCCCCTCCCAGCAGATCACCCAGAGGTGAAAGTAAGCCGGTACGCCCCGGTACGGTGTACTGGTAAGAGCCGGTGCGCCGTACCAGGACCGGCTTTCCCAGATGGCAATTTAAAGCCACTACCACAGCTGGAGCCCCGGGCCCTTTAAGTCTTCCGGTTAAGGTCATGTCTCTTCCAGTTGAGGCCACGCTCCCTGCTCAGGACTCTGGCATACCGGTAAGTCCTGTAACTTACTTTCACCCCTGAGACCACCTGTAATGATGACTGCATTCTTCCGATTTAGGCACCCTCCCCCTTATCACACTCATTTTCCTTCCAGTCATTAACAACTTCTTTTGTTTGTTCTGTAGCTTCTTCCAGACAGGGGGATACATGATAGGCCCTTATCAGCCTATGTCTGATTTGCTACATGTAGAGTATTGGAGTTATCCATAGAGTTCACAAAATCATCCATAATTCATAGGTTTTGTCACATAAGGTCATAAAGAAATAAGCCCTGTAAGAAAGATGAAGGCTTTTCTCTGCGTTCTTAGCTGCTGACTTTAACCAACTGTCCTCAGGGTGAGCTGGAATAAAGAAGCTGGATGTGACACCCAGAAACAAGCTGAAACAGAAATTACACAAAAAATTCCGAAGCTTTCGGACATTTTGTCTATTGCAGTTTTTATAGTTATGCTAAGTGTCAACATAAAGAACTGTGACACCAGCGACTGGCTTCTTAAAAGGCATCTGTTTAAATTTATGTGACCTTGTCTAACTGGGTAGCAAGTAGTCTTGAAAAGCTATATTTATCCACCAGCAACTCTTGTACTCTGACTTATTCTGCGGTAACTGTATATTAGGCAGGGAAAGGTCAGTTCTGAAATGAGAGCACTGTTACAGGACTGCCGCAATTTACATACTGTAGGTACCAGTGCTTAGACAGATCTTACTGTGATCTGGTTTTCTTTAACCTGTAGGACAGACAATAAAGGTCCATTTTCAGTATCATTTGGAAAAAGTATAAGTTGTAGCAACATGCATTGTAAATATTTAACCTCTTGGGCCTGACAAGCTAAACCAGCCAACATTTAGAACCCTTCTGTAAGGGCACTGTGAAAAGATGGCAACTGGACACATCTTTGAAAGGCTGCCCCAGGGTCTTGATAGTACATAAACAGTCGTTGAAAGTTTCATACCACTAAGAAAAAGCCAGTAGATTGGCTGGGAAACAATAACAAGACTTTGCTAGATAAAATGGTATAAAATGCATTACTCCTGTCATTGCATTCCCCATGCTTATAAAATCAAAGTCCAGCTGGTTGTAGCAAGAATCTGATACACCTTGTATACTCATTTCAAGACTGTTGTTAAAAAAACGTATGGACAAGTTTTCTCCCAATTTTGCAGAAACCATCTCCTTTGTCTTTGGAGAGTAAATCTGCCAATTTTCTGGCCATGGTAGTTTTTCAAACCAAAGTTACAAAGAAGCTGAAATGGGCTTGGACAATGGTAGTAGATTGCCAGCTTAGCTATAGGCGGGGACCTAGGAAATCTCCATGATAAATGGAGGAACCGGTATAGCTCGCGCCCATCCAGGCACTGACATCTTCAGAGGCTACTGACTGATATGGACAGCGCTAGGTCAAAGGAAGAATTCTTCCGTCGACCTAGCTACTACCTCTCGGAGAGGTGGATTAACTATAGCAATGGGAGAACCCCTCCCGTCACTGTAGTGAGCATCTAAGTGCTACAAGCAGCGTAGCTGCTGTGCTGCGGCTGTGCACTGTAGCATTTTAAGTTTAGACATAGCCTGAGAATCTCATTTCATCTGAAGAACTTCCTTGCAGCGTTGACTCCCCGCTATCATAGCATCGGCCGGATTTGCTGGTTGGTCAGTACGATCTTGTCTTATGTCCAGCAGGTTGCGGGTCTCCAGAGTTGATGATTGTATCTGGAAATCTGTGACAGACACGGCTTGGCTCTGTGTTGTTTCTGTAATGGAAAGCA